ATGTTTGAAGATGCTTGGACATGGATGGAGCAAAACTTTAGACAGCAAAAATGTGCAACATTGCCTAGCATTACAAATACACGTGACAAATTTCTCCAAGCGAAATTTTCGTTAGAAAGCCTGGAGGCTAAAATAGAAGAATTGAAAGAAGTGCAAGAATCTGCAGAACACGAGGAATGGATGGAAAGAGTCGCAAGAACTGAGACTACAAAGGTATATTACTTACTATTTTTAGCATGTATATATTTATGATAAGTTAAAATCTTCCTTTTTTGAAGTACAGAAAAGCTTAGATACAATTATGCAAACCTTATTAGAACAAAAGTTTGTGGACAATCTACAATTAAGATTGTCGAAGATCAACCGCCGCAAGGTTACTTAAACTTTATATTATGATAATTAAATCCTTTTGTATTCAACTCAACACACTTATCAAAAAAAAAAAAAAAAAAAAGAAATGGCGAAAAAAACATATCAAAAAGTTACAAATGGTTCGAGATGAACGGCAGCGTCGAAGAGAAACACTACACAAAACTATTGATGAATGGCGGACTGAGTGGATCGCAAAAGAGCTGGCACTCAAACGTGTGAGTGAATGGGAAATTATATTACATGAAACGTGCAATCCATCCTCATTAAAGATATCGTAGGAACAAGCTAGAAAGAGGGAAGCCGAAAAACGAGTGCAAGAGGCTGAGGCAAACAGAAGCAAACATAGAGAACTTTCAAAACTGCTTGAAAAGGTTAAGAAATTGCGAGATCTACGTAGGGATCGATTAAAACGAGAAGGTCATTATCTAAAATTGAACTGTAAATTTTTTAAGAAGGTATTAAATTTTGCAAAAATTTTCATTAATAGGGCACTTTTTCCCCGAGGAAGATGATGAATTCTTTAATAAGGTTGCATCGTTGAATGATGTAATGAAAATTGAGGAAGCACGGTTGGATCAAGAAAGGAATGCTGCGGCTGAACACAAAAGAAATGAAGCTATGGATGTTGGAATGAAAGAGCGAGAAAAAGAAAGAGATCCTGTTTATGAATATTGGCATCAAGCAGAATTTGATATTGATAATCTTATCTCAATTAGGTAAAAGTTACTCTTTTTTCATTTCGATGTAAGGTCTTACGCATGTAACCATGTAATTCGCTAACGTTATATGCATAGACGTCAGTGGGATGCATTTTTGGTTGCACCTGGCACTATTGGATCATCGTGCGTTCCACCGTCCTTTATAAATCCTTCACCTCCTGCAAATTACGTTTGGGCTTCTTGTCTTACACACGGTTTAAACTAGTGATTATGCCCATAAGAATAAGATCTATCAACAACAATTTACATTATGAATGTCATCTGTTTTAAATATTTTTATTTAGTATAAAGCATGTGAGAATAAAGAATGTTTATCAATCTAAGCATCTATTCGAGTTCATGAATATTTAGTATTTAATTTCATTTAGCATCGCAGATGCTATTGTTGAAGTTCACACGGGCTCAATAATGATATAATTCAAGCAGATTTATTAGATAAATCTCTATTGATGGCAGCCCACTTTATGAATTCAATTCCAGGCTTCCGATTGGCACATATACTTTATACTTAACTTTAGCAATTCGGATTTAACATCCTTTTGTATTTTAATAATAATTAGCAGTTAATTTATATAGACTTAATTTCATTACTATATTTGTAATATTAGTAATATTCTTTATAGGTAATACTAAGGTTGCTGGAAACATCATATAAATGTTACAAAATAAATTTTAATGTTTGAATATTAATATTTTGATTATTATATATATATCGCGTGGTTCGTAACAAAGTCCCAGCACTTTGGGCTTTCTTATTGGACTACGCTGACGCTCCGCAAGTTCCTGTTTCTGAATCCACTCGGAACGACAAGTGGATGAGGAGCGCGAACTCTCAGGAAGTCATGGATAGACTCAACCTCAAGATCGATGCATTTCTTGGTCATGATGGTAGGATTTATCGTGAGACTTTGTGGTCTTCAACGTACAATACGTATGCGAAGATTATAGGTCGACTCTCGAGAGAACGCGTTCGTAGGAATTGGGACGCATGGGAAGCTCAATACCCATAGGAGCTGCTTATGTTCCCTAAAGAATAAGGCCGAGATGGTTTTTCTGTGCCTTGGTCTTACGTTGTCTGTATCTTTCCGAGTTCAATAACCGGCGTTTTCTTTTGTTTGGTGGAGGAAGTAGAATGGAAGTAGATCAGTTTCCTCAAGTTGGACGGGGCTCCGATCCTCTTTTATTTTTTGACG